TATATGATTATTGTTATTACTTTTTCAGGCTTCATTTTTAAACAAAAAACTTAAATTAGATGATAAACAAATTAATTTGGCCATATGGGATACAGCAGGCCAAGAAAGGTTTCACGCTTTGGGACCAATTTATTACCGGGCTTCAAACGGGGCACTTTGGTTTACGATATCACTGATGAGGATTCTTTCCAAAAGGTAAGGGGCTTTTACATATATATATATATATATATATATATATCATATATATGGATATGTTTTTATATCTGTTTTTTTTAGGTGAAAAATTGGGTTAAAGAGCTCAAAAAAATGTTGGGCTCAGAAATCGTATTGATGATTGTAGGAAACAAATTGGATTTGGAGCAAGATAGAAATGTCAGTGTAGAAGAAGCAGAAAGGTAAATTTAATTACAAGTATATGTTATATAAGTTGTAAGTAAGCAATCCTCCATAATTCTTCAAAATATACACCAAACTTGTCTTTTATGCTTGAATGATTTTCAGCACTTAAGAATCCTTTTGTAGATTGTTTTGTTTTTGTGCATTAAGATAGTTTTCTGATTTTTATTTCTTATATATATTAATTATTATTAATATATTACATTTTCATAATTTCAGTTATGCAGCTCAAGTAGGCGCTAAGCATTTTCAAACGTCTGCAAAATTGAATGAGGGAATCGAAGAATTGTTTTCATCACTAACTCGAGAGGTAATAAGATATATATATTATATTATTTATGTTATGATATAGGGTGGTCCTTAATATGGACATTTTCGAATGTCCTTGTTCCAAGGGCTCAAATGCTTTCAAATCAATTAAAAAAAATTGGCGGAAGAATTTACCTAATTACATATGTTAATAATAAACATACGAAACTTTTAATTGAATTGCTGACTATCTAAATGTTAATATTAAGAGCTAAAACTTTTAGAGATTTTTCTTTTATTAATTTGGAAGCATTTGAGCCCTTAGGAGCAAAGAAATTCAAAAAGGTCTGTATTGAGGACCACCCAAACTATAAATATAATTATCACTAATAATTATTTATAACATAATAATGTTTCCCTTATTATTTTTCTTCCAGTTTCCTTATTATACTAAATGTTCACCCTTCTACCACAATCGAATAATTTTTATCTCACATGTTTAATAAATGAAACTAATAATTCACTTAATTTCGATTAAGATTTTTTTTTGAATTATTGGAACCAATTTTCTTAATTTTTATAGACCTTCGATCATTTTTCAGATATTTTTACTATGGTATTGAGTAGAGATTAGAACGAAACCAATCTCCTTTTTTTCTCATATATTAAGTTAGTCGAGTCCCTTTTCGCAAATCTAATTTTGATTTGCTCGTCAGTAGAGTCCCTTTTCTTGAATCCAATTTTGATTTGCTTGTCAGTAGAGTTCTTTTTACATTTTCTAGGTAAAAATTAAAGTTTGGTTGTCAGTAGAGTACTTTCTCATATTTGTAGTTTATTAGTAATGACTTTTTTCTCATCTTCTAGATCTAAATTATAGGTTGCTCATCAGTACAGTCCCTTTTATTTTCTCGTTTGTAATTTAATTTGCTCTTCAGTAGAGTCCCTTTGTACTGTCAACGATTTTCAAATTTTTGTCCCAAATCTTTTTTTAACATTTTATATTTTTATCTTTATTTTGAGACTTAATTTTGATTAAATTGGAATGGAACTCTGCTGGCAATCAAACGGAATTTAGATTTAATTAATTGACGAGCACATTAAATTTCGTCTTAGAACCCGAAAAAGACTCTACTGACAAGCAAACTTCAATTTCATGGAAAAAAGGGACTCTACTAACAGGCATATTATATTTCGACCTAGAACATGAGTAAACATTGAATTTGATTTAGAATGTTAGAAAAAAAGGATTGATGACGAGCAAATTAAATTTTGACTTGAAACATGAAAAGGACTCTACTGACGAGCAAACTTTAATTCTGAACTAGAATAATAAAGAAGGAACTCTACTGACGAGCAAAATTTTTTCCCTCTACACGAATATATTGTTGACATTTTATATTATTATTTTATTATATAATTTGAATCAAATTAGAAAAGGAACTCTACTGAAGAGCAAACTTTAACTTTTATCAAGAATATTAAAAAGAGACAATACTGGCGAACAAAATTAATATTCTCTACATAATCATATTGTTAACATTTATATTTCATTTACTTTTTTCTACCATTTAAGTTCAAATTAGATTTAAAGTAGAAAAGGAACTTTACTGACGATCAAACTGAATTAAGATTTAAAAGGCAAGGACTGTACTGACGAACAAATTAAATATCGATTTAGATATAAAAAGAGACTCTACTGACGATGCAAACTATAACTTTGATCTAGAATATTAAAAAAGGGACTATACTGACGAGTAAATTAAATGTCGACTCGGAGCAAATCTATTGACCAGCAGATTCAAACATTTTTTTAAAAAAGGGACTTCACTCATCACGAGCAAACGGGTTTCTAACTAAAAGAAACTTTTGAAAATTAGTTCAATAAATTGACTCTACTGATGAAGTAATTTATTATTAGTACGATGTCATTTTTATAAATACATTTAGAAAGTCATTCTAAAAACTAAAAAGAACAATACTGACAAACTAAGATTGTTTTATTAGATCAGAATAACACTACTGGAAAGAAAATTATTTTATGGAAAAGGAACTCTACTTAACGAGCAACCTGAATTTAGATTTAAAATAGACATGTTTCGTACGAGCAAAAGCAATTGTTTCAGTTTGTTTGATTTAGTTAAGGGTAACTATTATTGTTAATATTAGTTAAAGGGTCTAAAAGGGGCCAAAAATGATAAAAAAAATTGATCACGTGATTAATAGATGCCCCCAAACGAAAACGTCGCTAATATATTATGATAAACTACGAATCATAGTCGAAAAATAACATTGACAGTCATAAATTAAAAGAATAAAATCAAATCCGACAGTTATAATTATAAATATTCTTGGCAAATTAATGGATTAATTAAAATTGAAAATAACAAAAATTTGAATGTTTTGATGGCGATTTAAGATTTTCAATTTCCCGAAGGAGAAGTTTTTTTAATAAAAAAATTCGAATCGTTTTCTCGACGTTTCAAGCCATATATAACTAATATTGATAATATAATGAATATTTAAATTATAAAAAAAATCAAGTTCGGTGAGTTGTTTTTATATTCCTTCAATGTTAAGACCACTGATATTTCACAACCCTACGCACGACAAGTTATAATTGATCAATAAATTAGTAATTTCTTAGAAATATTTATACATTAGGGTGGTCCTTAATATGGATGTTATCGAATTTCCTTGCTCCCAGGGGCTCAAATGCTTCTAAATTCATAAAAGAAAGTTCTCTGAAAGTTTTAGCTCTTAATATTAACTTTTAGATAGTGCGCAGTACAATCAAAGTTTCTTATGGAAATAACATGGGTGAAATTTCATTTGTTTTTTAACTTAGCGACAAGTGAATCAAAATTTTGAGAATAACATTGTGTTTGGTTGTTTTGATCATAAATAAAAAAAATACGACAAAAATTTGATTAGAAGTATTTACTTAGGAATAAGAACCGAGAAACTTTGGTTAGATTGCGGAGTATGTTAGTAATATTAAGAGCTAAAACTTTCAGAGAATTTTGTTTTTATTAATTTGGAAGCATTTGAGCCCTTGGGACCAAAGAAATTCAAAAATGTCCATATTAAGAACCACCCTAATATATATATATATATATATATATAGGGTGGTCTTAAAAGTCATTTTCGAATTATAGGGGCTCAAATGGTTCCAAATAGATAAATAATTCTTGAAAGTAGCTCTTAATATTAACGTTTAGATAGAGCGCAATTCAATCAAAGTTTTGTATGGAAATAGCATGAAAAAATTTTCAAAATTTTAAAAATGTTTTTTAGATGTATTTAGTGAACAATGAATGAATAAAACTCATTCATTTATCGCTAAGTTACACTCATTTTTTTTAATTTTCAAAATTGTTTCCATGCTCTTCCATACAAAATATGAATTGCGCTCATCTAAACGTTAATATTAAGAGCTAAAACTTTCAGAGAATTATTTTATCTATTTGGAACCATTTGAGCCCCTGGGAGAGGAAATTCGAAAAGACCTTTTAAGGACCCCCTAATATATATATATATATATATATATACATATATATATATATATAAGTATTATATATAATATAATTCTAATAAATTATTATATTCCAGATGTTAAATCATGCAACCCAGTTACAGAAAAGCAGGCCTCATCGTGGCCCAGAACGAGTTCAACAAGACGAACAAATGTGGTCATCGTAGACGATGAAGTCCCTCAACAAAATCCTGTTGTGGAACAACGTAGTAGACCACTCCTCTGACCACTCTATCAGTTAAATAAATAATATCAAAAGTATTAAAGGTTGCAAATAAACGACTAAACCGAGAGAGAGCTTGGATATATAACATACATAATAATAGATAGTCGGTGAAAAAAATAATAATATTTTTTTAACTTGTTTTAACCCCGTAGTCGAGTCGATTTTAATGGAAATTATTAGGTTTTTAAGATGTTTTAATTAATTTCTAGTTTCTAGACTGCTTTGATATGTGATTTTTGCTCATTGTTGTAAATATAATCGATTGATAATTTTAACACAATCATTTTTTTAACATAATCATTTACTAACCACAGATAAACAAATATAAATAGTTGGCAAACGTTTTACATCATTTTTAGTTCTTTGAGCGTATCACAGATGTCGCCACCAACTGTAGCACGTAAATTTACCCTTGGTTTTAATTCCAGATAAGATAATAAAAGATAAATATATAATACAGAAAAGATAGAGCTGATTAGAATTTGACTAAATGAAATGAGAACGAATCTAGTGGTGTATGGCATCGTGCCTTAAGGCAAATTGCTGGAACTTCCCGTACCGTAATGAAATTTTCGAGAAATTTTAAACGTTTTCAAATATATTATTACAAATACTTTCAGTAACTTTTATTATTTTTGCTATATTGTTATATCTGAGCAAATCAAATGTAAATCATAAATCACAAATCGATTTATCTCCGGAACATTAACAATCGTCATTTCATTTCGAATTCAATTTCAAAAAAATAGTTGCCTAATTATTTACACAAAATTGAAAAAGTGCCCCCGTGTAGTCACAGTCTAAACGCACTTGCGAATAATTCTGTGCGATATTTACACTTATACTGTGCTTGGCTTGGCGGCATTTTCACATTTTTCAATAGTTTTAAACTTTTTTAAAAAATTAAAAAAGTGCTCCATACACAAACAGTCTAAACGCACTTGGGTAAACATTTGTACCGGTGTGGCGCTTAGACTGTGCTTAGCCCGGGTCATTTTTTGAATTTTTAATCCAAAATTACAAAAATATTTTATGGAAAATAAAAAAAGATGTAATAATTTTTTATCCTCAAAAGCAATTGTTTTGTCAATACAAGCAGAAAGTTTTTTACATCATTCAAATCGGATGCTTATTTCTCTCAAACTGCCATTTTTTGCACGTTTAGCTCCGTATCTACAAAATGGCTGGACCTGCCTTTGCCAAAATCTAATTTCTTCCACACCATTTCTTCCACTCATTACAAATCGAATGTTTTTTGAATCATTCAAATCGGATGCTCTGTTCTCTCAAAAACTCGATTTCTATTTTCTGCACTCTTTGCTCCGTATCGGTTGGGCCTGCCTTTGCCAAAAACTAATTAGCACATCTTTCTATCAATAAGGATAGAATGTTTTTTAAACAATTCAAATCGGTTATCCGTGCGTCCGAAAACGTGGACGAAAAAATGTGGACATACAAAACACACACACACACATCCATTTAGTTTCTGATGTATGCCAGTAAAATGTTCAGAAACCTTTAAAACGTTGAGAAATGCAAAAATTTTCATTTTCGATTTTCGGCCCATTACTATAACTACCCTACGGGAAGTTAATAAAATTGATTTTTAACAAAATTACAAATATGTTGTAAAAATATATATAATGAGAAAAATTTAACTTTTTTTCATTCAACAAAGATATATATTAATATATAAAGTTTAAAGTACGTGTTTACGTGTACTATATCTAGAAACTTTTCTTTAACGCTGAATTCGAAGCACACTAGCGCCATCTGTGATATGCTGAAAACACATTATTAAGTCCTTATCTCATACAGAGTAAAGCGCGTTTGTTCTTAAATGTTTATCTTAAAGTGTGATATTATTTTGCACAGCACACATAATTTTTTTTATTATTTAATTATGATAATGATAATAGGTCCCAGTTATTATATATAAATAAAAAAATGGTAATGTTTATACAAATATGTGATAAATAATCTATTTAAATCTTGTATCTTGTTATTATTAAAATATAATATGTATCTTTTAAATGGAAATATGTTGTATGTATTTGTGAATTGATGAAATATAAAAAGGAAATATTGAGATAATCATAAACGGTGTTTTGTTTTTTGAATAGTGGTCAGTGCTAATTTACGTTTGAATTAAATTTGCGAGTCAGTAGAGTCCCTTTATTATTCTAGATCAAAATTATAGTTTGCTCGTCAGTAGAGTCCTTTTTGTGCTCTAAGTCGAAATTTAGTTTGCTCGCCAGTAGAGTCGCTTTTTAAATTATCCGTGATCAAAATTAAAATTTGCTCGTCAGTAGAGTTCTTTTTTTCATAACTCTTTTTATAAATCATGAAATACAGATTTTAACTAAATGTTTATGCAGAAGAAAATAATCTCGTTTGTCAGTAGAGTCCCTTTTTTAATATTTTTAACCAAAGTTGAAGTTTGTGCGTTAAAAGAGTATTTTTCGTGTTCCAAGTCGAAATTCAATTTGCTCGTCAGTAGAGTCCCTTTTTCATGTTCTAGTTTATAATTTAATTTGCTCGTCAGTAGAGTTCTTTCTGTGTTCCAAGTCAAACTAATGTCCCTTTTTTAATATTCCGTTCAAAGTTAATGTTTGCTCGTCGGTAGAGTTCGTTTTTCACCTTCCAGTTTGTAACTTAACTTGCTCGTTAGTAGAGTTCCTTTAATTATTATTTAAGATCAGAATTAAAGTTTGCCCGTCAGTAGAGTCTCTTTTCTAAAATGACATAGTATTAATAATAATTTACTGAATTTGTTCATCAGTAGAATCCCTTTTTTCAAATTGATATTTAAGTTGTTAATCCGTTTGCTCGTCGGTGGAGTCATTTTTTATACGTTCAGTAGAGTCCCTTTTTTAATAAGAAAATAAAGTATGCTCTTCAGAAAAGTCCTTTTCGTGTTCTAAGTCAAAATTTAATTTGTTCGTCGGTAGAGTTCCTTTCTTATTATTCTAGATAGAAATTAAAGTTTGTTAGTAGAGAGCTTTCCCAATTTAAATCTAAATTTAGTTTGGTTTCTAAAGTTAGTTTTGTTAATTTTAAAATTTTAGCCTTTTAATTTTAAATTGAACAAATTATAGAACAAATATTGAAAAATGTAGTCATAAACAATTTTCAATTGGAAATAAATAATTAATGGGGTTTCACATTTTCTTTACAACATTTTATAACATATTTTAAAACCGAAAAAAACTAAGATCGCTTATTAGTTAAAATAAACGCTACTGAAAAATAAATTTAATCTAGTGACTCTACTGACGAGCAAATTCAGATTTTTTTCATTAGACAAAAAAGAACTCTACCACCAAGCAAATTAAGTAAATTGTTATTAGTATGATGTTACCAAAAAAGGGACTCTACTGACGAACAAACTGAAAATCAATTTCAAAAGTAACAAAAACTAACAAACAAATATAAGATAAGAAGAACACTCTACCGGAAAATAAATTCATTTTAGTAAAAAGGGACTCTACTGACAAGCAAACTAATGATCAATTTTAAAAGTAGCTAATAAAATCATATCATTTTAAAAACAAAAAAAAACTACTGACGAGCAAACTAAGATTGTTCTATTACATAAGAAAAACACTCTACTGGAAAACATATTCATTTTATTTGGGGCAAATTCTATAATTCTTCCGCTTCCGATAATAATAGAATAAGAATGTAATAAAATTCCGGTAAGAGTCTAATTAAGTCAAGTTCGAATTTGATAAAAATTTAGTTAGATCGAATATAAATGTAGTTAAAATCTAAAATAAATGTAGCAAGAATACACCCAGAATGTAGTTAGAATCTGATAAGATTCCGGTCAGAATTTAACATGAATTCAATCAGAATTCCATATAAATCTGATAATTTGAATTGTAAAATTTGTAAGATGATTTTAGAAATTATTAAAGCCAAAAGATCGGAGATTTTTCTAAATTTTTTCATACATTTTCTAAAAAAATCTGAAAAGTCAAAAAAGTAAAAATTTGAGTATTTTCTTAGATTTTTTGTAAATATAAAACTGAAAACTCGGGAAATCAATTTTCATACAAAATTAAAATAAAGACAATTCAGAAAAATATTCACATTTCAAAATTTAAGTATAATCAAAAAAATAAAATTATGTTATAAATTTAAACAAAAAATAATAAACTTACCAATAATCGAGAAATCACCATTATAACTTTCAATATAACATCCTTCAATTTTCTTAAATTTAACCAAAACTACTCCAAATTTCTCCATGTTACTCCAACAAGATTCTAATGTAATTTCTTCATTATCACTAACAAAATTTCAATTAAATTTTTGAAAATTCTAATTTCACTTCTCGAATTTACTCCGAAAATTCTAATTAACTTTCTCCACTCCACTCCACCAAAATTTGAATTTAAATTTTTCTTTAAGGAAATACATACATTTAATAAATCCTTTCATTTGCACAATTTAATGATCCTTCCTTAAGCAACCTGAAACTCAACTCAACAATACCATCATTAATATCATGTAATAATTAATTACAATTTCAAATTTCATAAATTTATTATTTCAATTATTTTCATAAAATGAATACAATATAAATATATTTACAATAACTGTTGAAATCAATTTAGTAGCATCTTAATAATAAATATTAATAATAATAATACACATTCGTATAACATATTAAGTATTATTAACAAAAAGAAAAACAAATATTAGAATTTATGAAAAAGTATTATATTCTTATAATTGTAATATAAAAAATCTTTTTACTAAAAATTTATAAAGTATAGACATACACCCATACCTTGCTTTGCGTCTTTCCATTTTCGGTTCGCGTCTTTGCTTAATGCATCCACTACTAGTTACCTTGTGCTGCCTAAATGAACTACACTTTTTTATTCGTTAAATACAAAATAAAACAATTTCTGGAAGCTGGAAACTAGAAATTTAAAAAAAACATGCAACAAAATAGGATAAACAAGACTATTCCTATTGCAGTACAAAATTTCAATTTAAACCACCTGTTGGGTTCGTCGCCTGGCTATTGGCAACGGCCTCACGCACCATATGCGTGCGCACCAGTAAATGTGTTAAAAAAATGTGTTTCTTGTGGTCGTGTGTACAATATTGGCCTTAAATTAACATAAACATTCAAATGTACAAAACAATATACACACACAACATTATAAATCATACTTCTTATCTCAAAAAATGTATGTGGCAATAACTACTTACTACTAAATTTGCTAAAATACTAAAATTTCATGTGGACATTTCTGAAAATCTATTTTATAATTTTTTTTAAATATAAAGCTTTATGCAATTATTATTATCGATTGTGAAAATTTTATTTCTAAAGATAGAAAGTTTGAAAAAGTATTTACATTATTATTAAATTTTTTTTTTAATTTTTAGCACCATCGTTTTTAACAATATTTATTATTCAATTATCTACACAAATTAAAATTTTCATTTTCGAACCGAATACTTGAAATAAAATACAGTTTCCTCCTTGAAATAAAATACAGTTTCCTAAAAATTCTCCAAGAAAGCGGTTTTTATACAAAAGCACACTAATCCTTTTGGCGCCATCTATGAATGCATCTGGTACCTAGATTTTGTAGTAAAATGTTCAAATATCGACAGAACATAAGTCTATATCAGTTTTAGTATTGTCAGAGCTTTTTTTATAACGCAGTATTCTTATAGAGCGGTTTTTGTACAAAGACCCATAAGTTTCTTCAGCGCCATCTTTGAATTATTTATCTATCATCTAGGACAGATATGAATTTTCGTATTCGATCTGTATACAAACGTAAAAAATCGAAATAAAATACAGTCAATTCTCCGATAACACGGTATACTCTATAACATGGTACATCATATAACACTGCTTACGTTCAAGAGCCCATAAGTTCTTTTCCCGCCATCTATGAATGACTCCAATAACTAGTTATCGTTGCAAAAGGTTTTACCTTTTAAAAAATATTTTTATAAACGTACCAGTTTATAACAGTTTTAGTATTGTCAGTGGTTTTTTTATAGCGCGGTAGTCTTATAAAGCGTTTTTCGTGCAAAAGTCTACGGCGCCATCAATGAATATCTTCATTAACTAACTAGTTGTTGTAAACGCGTTATTAGCGACTATTTTAGTTTTTATAAAATGTTTATATGAACATAAGTTTATATTGGTTTTAGTATTGTCAAAACTATTTTTTTATAACGCGGTACCCTTATAGAGCGGTATTTGTACAAAAGCCCATAAGTTCCTTCTAGCGCCATCTATAAATTGGCTCTAGAACAAATTTGAATTTTCGTATTCGATATGTATACAAACGTATACTTAAAATAAAATAAAGAATTTTCCAAAAACACGGTACTTCCTATAGCACTGTTTAAGTTCAAGAGCTCAGAAGTTTTTCCGCGCCATATATGAATGACTCCAATAACGAGTTGTTGCAAAAAGTTTTATCTTGTAAAAAATGTTTATGTAAACATACCAGTTCGTGTAAGTTTTAGTACTGTCAATGACCTTTTAAAACGCGGTACTCTTATAGAGCGGTTTTTATCCAAAAAGCCCGTTAGCTCCTTCAGCGCCATCTATGAATGTCGTCGGTAATGTGTTATTGTTGTAAACGGTTTAATTAGCGACTATGCTATATTTTACAAAATGCTTATATAAACATAAGTTTTTATCAGATTTGGTATCGTCAGAGCTTTTTTTTATAACGCGGTATTTTTATAGAGCGGCTTTTGTACAAAGCCATCTACGAATTACTCTAGAACAAATTTGAATTTTCGTATTCGATCTGTATACAAACGTATATTCGAATTAAAATACAGACAACGTTTTGATAACACGGTTCTCATTCAAAAGTTCGTAACATAGATAAGGAAAAGGTTCGTAAGTTCATTCAGCGCCATCTATAAATGACTTTAGTAACTAAATGTTATAGTAAAAAAAATTATGTTTTATAAAATGTTTATATAAACAAAACAGTTTGTATCCGTTTTAGTATTGTCGGAGCTTTTTCTAAAACCGCGGCTTATGTCCTAAAGCCCGTTATTTCCTTCAGCGCCATCTATGAATGTCTTCAGTAACTAGTTGTTGTAAACGGTTTCAATATCGACTAATATATCTTTTTCAAAGAATGACAACGCTATGTTATTGAGTATTTTACATACATATTGATGAGTTTTCGATAAAAAAATATATTCATTAAAATTCTAATTATGAAACGTAAAATAAAATCATAAACTTAAAGAAACTAAAAGAAACAAAACGTATTTAAACTGTACATTTATTGAACAAAAAAATAAACTAAAATTATCATTGACTTATCATAAACTCAATATATAATAATATATGTATATTCGAAAATAATTGTCATTTAAAAATAAATAAATTAAACATCGTACCGATGACCTACACATTGCCTTGTGCAATAAAAACTTAACTTAATTTTTGATCAAGCAATTTTAAAAGTCTGCCAGATTTAAATTTATATTAAATATAAAAACGTTCCTGAACGAGAAATTTGAAAAATCTCGAGTCGAAGACGTAACCAAACGGTGTGTTCCGTGTGACAATAACAAAATGTCTGCCGTTGACAGTTGAAAATAGTAATAGTCACACGGAACAAACCTAAAATGTATAAAAATAATCCAGTACGGAGGTGTTTGTTATCCATTTAAATCAAATTCCAATTTCATTCCAAGTCTCATCACACACCACACTTACCATATAATAGATTATATAATAATAATAATAATAATAGGTCCTTAATTGACTAAAATATTAAACTATTTACACATACGACAATGATAATAATAATAATAATATTGTTGTAGCAATTGATAATAAAAATAATTATTAAAATGTAATAATAATATAGTAGTAAGAGTAGTAGTAGTCGATAATATAAAATAATAGTTCAATTACTAAATTAATTAATTTTAGTTAATTAATTAGTTATTATTTCGATAGTTTACTAATGACCCTAATGAGGGCGCCGTTCTCGTCTTTGAGTCTCTGGTTTTCAGTTTTCAGCAGTTCCAAGTGCTGCAGGAGAGAAAAAAAATAGGTTATAGTTATAGAAAATAGATTTAGAAATAGTTGTAGTTGGTGAAATAGACATAATGGCCGGTAAAGGTATGTTATGCTCTGGTAAAATAGACCGTAACATCTCGTTTCTATGGCAACGCTATGTTATGCTCATTTATATGGAAACGCTATGTTATGCTCCTTTATATGGACTGCTAGTCCTCATATGTTTTACATTTTAAGTACAATTTAAGTGTCAAAAGCTATAAGGGTATGTAACGTCACATGTCTGAGCGAATATTGCCGACGACAATCGCGGACTCTCCCGATTTATCAAATGTCATATGTCATATGTTTTATTCTCCATGTAGTGTAAGGTCTATATTCTTTATTGATACTAAAAACTGTCAAAATGCTACGTACTTGCTTAGATACATTTCCTAACCTAGAAAACGCACAAACGCCAAAAAAAATAATGTTCGCAAAAACTTAGCATTTTGGTTGTTTATAGTAACAAGAAAGCGTTGCCATAACAACGCTATGCTATAATCTATTTTACAAGAGAATTGCTCCACTAGTTTAGAAAATAAATTTAGGAATTGTTATTGAAGATTTCGAAGTAGAAATGAGCAAGGATGCTATATAATATATTGTAGATAATTAACTAGGTCTAAGTGGCATTTTGTCTGAAGACAAATTACGTGAATTTTTCGATATGCGGATTTATGAAACTTGATAAATATTAAAACTTAGCTACTTAGCTAGCATAACATGTATACTGGGTGTCCCAGAACTCAACGTCAAGCTGAAACGGTGTGATGGATACTAATCGTTACTATCATAAAAAAAAATAATTTTTTTTCTATGTAGTTTGAAAACTGTGAGCTTTCAAGTACAATTTAGGACTTTGGTGAAATTTTGACCATTTTTCCGTTATTATGGATAGGAGGCGTCCATTAATCACGTGATCGATTTTTTTTAGAGATTTTGGAACCACCTCCCCCTTGGTGACATGTCGTAATTTTTAAAATTAACCCCCCCTCCCCATAAAACATTAAGTGTATTTTTAGTTATGCAAAATTTTCCGAACAAATTTTTCGAATTGTTATTTTTTTTACTTTTTTTGAAAAAATAAATACACGTGATATCTTATTAGACCCCTCCCTCGCCCACGTAAAATTTTAAGATTTTTTGTCAAAGCCAAATTCAAAGCAATTGAATAATTATTTTTAATAGTGGTCCTAGACATGTTATTGACGACTACCCTTTTTCCAAAATTTAAATGAAGAAAAAAACTAAAAATGATACAAATTAACCAAGTTAACCAAAAAATAGTCTCATTCTCATTTTCACGGAAGTTCTAAGTTGCATAAATCAAACAAAAAGGTACAGGATTTGGGAAAAAAGGACCAGAAAAGAAAAGTAATTTATAGAAAATATAAAATAAAACATAAAAAAGCGAGAAAGGAAAGAAATTAGAAGATGTATTCACATCATGGATCTTCAAGCAGAAAATTGTAATAACAATAATAATTCCGTTGCTTACATCTTATTAGATTTATTAATAATTTAAAAAACTTTTGAATAAATAAAAAAAAATCGAAAGTAAAAGGTCGAAATTTAAACGAAACGTATTTTAAGTTATTTTTATACATGCTAAAATATGCTGTTCAAAATTGTTAAAAATTCCGTCAAAAAATTAATTTTATTAAGATGTATAAGGCTCCTGCTTTTTACATGGTGATCACTGAGTGACGACACACATCAAGTGTCGAAACATACGATAAAGAAAATTATTTTTTCTTAACTTTTTTATTTCGACAAATGCGCTGTTAAAACATGTTTTCAAATATATATATTAACACACAAGAAAAAAACAAGCATATTCAAAACATAAAAACATCAACTTTCAACAAACAAAAAAACATCAAACTAAACGCAAAAATTTGAGCGATTTTATTGTAGTAATAATTTTAAAGAAGAAAACATATATAATTGTTCAAAAAATGCGACATGCCATTTGCGAAAAGAATGAAATTATCCAAAAAAAAATTCAGACATTCAGAATAAATAAAAACCAAATAAAAAAATATTATGAGTTGTGATTGTGATTAAAAATGTATCAATCAATCCATGCGTGCGTTGTGATTAATATTGATTATATAAAAAAAAAAACAAAACATAAAATCATTTCCTCGATTAGTGCAAACGTCAAGCCCTAAAGACTAAGATCATAGACATTACACTACAAGGACTGCTAGAAGGAGCCTGTGACGTCACATGTCTGAGCGAACATTGCCGACGACAATCGCGGATTCTCCCGATGGATCAAATGCCATATGTCATATGTTACGTAATAAAAATAAAAATAAAATGCCTAACATAGACCTCATAAAATATAAAACGATTTTAACAGGTGTATACGATTTTATGTACATTTGTTTCACAAGGAAAATATTATTATTACAATTTCTTACAAAATTATTACCATCACTATTGCCGTTATATTGTTAAAATAAAACATATGACTTGTGACATTTAATCAATCGGGAGAGTCCGCGATTGTCGTCGGCATTGTTCGCTCAGACGTGTGACGTCACAGTGTCTTCAATGTTTGAGCACTTATATTACGCCTGACTAGCAGTCAATGCAGTATAAAGACTATGACTAATTGTAAGATTCAGTTGCAACCATCAATCGAGCTGCAAGCAAATAATTATAGAGCATCAAACCAATTTGATTGATTTAATAAAATAATCATTCTATTAACAAAAATCAGCTATGAATCAATTGATTTACCTATTTATTAGCATTGGCTGTAAGTTTGCTGACGACACGAGTGAGTGCTCGATTCTCAGCCCTCAAACGTTCATTTTCGTGTTTCAATTTTTGCAATTGCTACAAATTTGAAATAAATAGATTGACTAAGATTCAAACTTGTCTATGTTTTTTTTAAATATTTTTTTCAGTATTTGCATATAATATATGTTGTACGTAAACTTTTATATTCGACGATGGGACAAAGAAAATTATGATAAGTTTAAATAATTTTTTGGCCAATGTTATGGCAAGGCCATGTTCCTTACATTATGCTACTAAATCATACTGAATATAGTCAAAATATCATGTATTTGCTGTGCATTCAGGCGTTTTACACATAAACTGCAACATCACTCCTATGTTATGAACTTGAGTCAGAAAGACCCTGTTATCTAACATCGTTTGTGTGACATTTGTGCGGTTTCTAGGTTCAATTTTCTATGTGACAACCTGAGAAATACGCCTGACTGCACGGCAAGCGCATGGCTTTTGTCAATATTCAGTATTAAAAGTTCTTCATAACATGGCCTTGCCATAACATTAGTCTGTTGTGCGACAGAATCGGTCCGAAAGTAAATAAATGACTAAGCTTTAAATTATATATAGATAGCTATTTCTATATTTTTTTTAAATAAAATTAGTTTATTATAAAATTTATTTTGTAGCCTTTCATACTTATGGAGACGATGAAAATTTGCGCGTTGTGTGTTGAACGATGAATGCAAATGATTTTTAAATTTTTTTTAGTGATTGGATATTATATTATATTAATTAAATATTATGCCATACGTGTTTTTATTATGATTTTGATTAAAGTGCTTTATTAAAAAACTTTAATTCGAACAACATGAGTTCTTGTAAAGACGAGCGAGGTGAATAAATTTTTGTTTCCATCAAAGTACAAAAAAAACTTATAATGGACATTTTTTAATCAAATCGGCCTGAAATTATTCTTATTCTTTTACAAATTTTTGAAAAAATTATTTTAGAAAACAAAAAAAATCGCTTGATACACTTTTTACTCTAATATGTAATTAAAAGTTAGAAATAATTTCACGTAAATTATCTAACTATATTTTTTGTACAAAAAAAAAAATTCAAAAAATTTTATTTAGCAGAATTTTTAAAAATTATTTAAATTTTATAAAATTTAATCTCTAATGAATTTAAACGAAAATAAAATCCCTCAATAAAAAAATTACTTGATTTGGAAGTTTAATTGTATTTTTCTATATAAAATAAATTTAATCTCTAATTCAATTAATTTATTAAATATTTCATTAAATTGTTTAAATTTTATTCCTATATAGATCAATTATTTATCCAAAAATTGTAAATTATTTCTAATATCTTCTAAAATTATAATTTCAATGAACTGATATTATGCAGCAAGAATCATTGTTCTATATATTTTTACTAAATTGTTTATCATTTTATGAAATTAATTGTGTTGTAAATTAAATTAAGGAAAATAAATTAAATAAATAAATGAATATGTACCACAAATTATTTTTTTAAAATAAATATAGATTAATATAAAAACGTTTGGTTTAAATAAAGTCCTTTACAAATTGTAAGTTTTTGATTAATAATAATATCTTCTACAATTATATTTTTTTATATAAAACAAATTTATCAAAACTGAACCGATATTATCAAGAATCAATGTTCTAAATAGCTACGAATTATATTTTGTTATATAAAGTAAATTTAATTTAACAAATATTATGCTTCAAAAATCAAAGTTTTTTGTTTAAAACTTTATAAAATTGATTTAAAAATTAATGAATGAAAATAAAATCTATTTTATGGAAATGCCCTTGTTCAAATTAATAAAACGTGTTTAACAGAACCAATATTATGTGCCAGAAATCAATGCAATATTTGTTTTACTAAATTTTTTAATGTTTTATAAACCTGAATATATTATTTGTTCAATTAACGAAAATAAAATTCATAAATATAAATATCATCTACATCATTTTTTTAACATTGAAACTAATTTCCAATATCCAGTGCATTCTAATTTTAGAGATCAATTAACAAAAATAAAATCGCTAAATATTAAAATTCTCTGCTTAATTGTTGACTTGAAAATGTGTAAATATTTTTTTTTATATTGAACAAATTTAATTCCCAATCAATTCATATAAAACTAAGATCAGTAAAAAAAATCGTAAAGTTCCAATATATCTTCTAATTTGTTACATAAATATTTTGTATAACAAATTCGAAGAGATATGTACAATTTTTTTATTTATTGATTTTAGTTTTATGTTTAATTTAATTGAACTAGTATTACGTGCCCAAAAATCTATCTATTAACTGAATTTTTTACTATAATAATTTAACAAAACCTAAATATATATGTAAATTCTAGTATATATATCTTCTAATTTTTATCTGATTTTTTAAAATTTTTTTACAAAGCGGATTTATTAATTATTGTCGATTAATTGAGCCAAAATTTTTTAATATATAAAATAAATATGCAATATTAAGATATATGCTTATAAAAAAAAATAACTCGAACAGCATGTGCATTAGCAATTACTAAAATAATATTTTTTACTCAAAACCTAGAATAAAAATAAAAGATTTTGATCCGAAACCTTATGATAAAAATAAGAGTGTTTCTTTTAAAAGTCAATATCTTTTTTTAATATCGTTTTGTTCAAAACCATATTATTCTCTCTGGAAAAACTTCTTTCGAAATTCTTTTTGTTTGTTGTTAGTTGATGTTTATACTACTATTTTATTAACACGACATAAATAATAATCGAATAAACAATAAATTAACATGAAATGAAAAAATAAAAAAATATAAGAAATTACTTACTTTAAGTTCCTCTTCCATTTCTGACAACTTTCTCTCCATCGCGCGCTTTTCACGTTTTTCTAATTCCGATAAGGCGCCTTTGTTTGTCTGAAAAATAAAAAAAACATCAGTAAATAATTTATAAATCAGAAATAATATTTATATAACATAAAAATACATAACTCATGTAAGAAATTTAAAAGAAATATTAAGAGCACATATAAAACTTAGATGACATTGAGAAAACGTGGTTGTTACGTATGATTATAAAGCTAAATCGATATCACTTTGTTACGTGGCAGCTATGTTGCCCTTGTTTCATAAATGTTTCATAAAAATGACGATATGATTTTCAAGCACTAAAGAAGTCATAATAAAGATGAGTAAGTCAAAAAGTAGTCATTTGAATTTTGCAACTTTAATTGTATCTAAATGATGTAAAATTTGTAATTTATTTGAATAAAAATAAAGTAACCGTATTAACGTATAACATAATAGCTGAAATGTGTTATTAACTTATTAAATTAATTATAAAATGTATGTTTTATCAGCAAATTTAAATTTAATTGTTTAACTATTTTAATTAAAATAAATGAATAAATTTGGAAAGCTTTAATTTTGAATATTCGAAATGAAAATATTTAATAGAATTACTAAATAAAAACTTAACGGTCTTAATTATTATTATATATAAGCAAAACAACTTCTATATTTTCAGGAAATTGAATAATATTTATATGTAGCATTAAAGATACATGAACGACCCATATAGACACATAGTTTACTCGAAAACTAAAAACGTAGCAAAAACAAAACCACAACGTATTCGAAACGAAACAAAACATGTTAACGTAGCAGAAACGAAACAACGAGTTACATTAGTGACGTCAGTGTTCCGTTTAAGTTACGTAATAGTGTTATTAATGGTTTTATGAACCTTTAGTTTTTTTGGGATATAATAAAATGTATGTATACAACTAATTTTTACATTAACTAGTAAATAGTAAAGAATAAAAAAAAGTATACTGACTACATTGGTGACTCGATCGATGGTGGCTTTGGCATCTTTTAGTTCCTCGTTGCGTTTCTTCAGTTGCTCTTGTAGCCTCTCATTGTCAGCTCTTTAAATTAAATAAAAATTAATTAATATTAATAAAAATAATAGTAATAATAACAATGATGATGAATAGATAGATAGACAAGCTGCAAGATTATTAGTAAGGAAAGTTAGCATTCATAAATCAAATCTCAATAATTTAAAAAGGAAATTGTTGAACAAATCTAATAGAAAATCATTTATGTTTTGTAAATAAATCTATATAAATCAAAATTTAAAATCTGATCACTAAAATGAGAATAAATACTATAAGTCTAATTACTGTATAAATTATAATGTTTTTTATGAAAAGAAATTGGCAATGTTTATATTTACTTTGCGCTCTCCCACAGGGCTTTGTAATCAATGACGTCACTTCCATTTTCGGTGACGTCATTGTCGTCCACCAGTGACGTAGACGAACCCAATCGTGAACGGCTAGATCTTTCTGAACCACTCTGAAAAATTAATAAAATATACATTAATAAAATAAAATAAAAATGCGCAAATATTCATTTTTTGCAAAATGAAGTTAAATCATATGGACTGCAAAAATTAAAAATTATCCGGCAGTGTATTTTTGATACAACAATAAATTACAATAATGGTATTATTCAATTTGCCAACTTTAACTCTTAGTCAACAAATATTAAATAAAACATATTCATTAGCATAAATATACTTTATATCATTTTTGAATATTTCATCAATATTACAAAAAAAAACTTTATTTTCATTTTTTGTATAATTATTTATCAGCATATTATATTGAATCAACTGTTTTTAAAATGATTAAAACTGAGTACTACTTCTCACGATGCGACTCTTCAGTGGCAAGTTTTACTTATTAGCAAATTTAAATAAGTTATAAAGCACTTTTAAAATTTTCTGTTATAAATTTGATCTAACAACTAGGATGTTCAGTAATCCTATTTTTATACCTGATTATGAGTAGTTTATTTCCGACGGAAATGGGTATATCTTTATTTAAAAAAAGCATTATTTATGTCCCGACTCTGTATAATGTTTTATTAGATGAACTTGAAGTTTTTTTTGGCAAAAGCCGTTTGCGAATTTTAAAACAATAAATTTAAATCAACTCCAGATCAGATCGTATTGGTTGATTAAGGTGTAGGTGTAGTAATGTAGTAATAAATCAATCGCCAAAAACAACTGTTATAAATTAAGTTTTGTTTTGGCGATGATTTCATCGTCGGTTAAAAATAATCGATCGAACGGATGAAAATACTTTATGAACTTGAACAGGAATTAAATTGAATATGAAGCGGATTGAATTTATTTTTAGAAAACACTACTAAGCAAAACTAAAAATTATTTTGAAGCATACAAAAAGCATTATATTTATAACAATAATACAGTAAATTTCATCTAATTAATCCAGATAGATTATGTAATTAAGGCAATAAACTTAAACTAGTTGAAAGTGACATTTAGCCTTAAAGCAAGTTGCATGAACTTCCCGAAATGAGCAAAAATTGACTTAATCGAATTTAAAATTTAGATATTTAGATAAAATTGTCAACTGTTTATTTCAAAAATGAAGTTATCGCTTTCAATTAAAACTAAACATTGCGATTTCTAATAGAATTTTCTCAAACACATTTAAATTAACTGTAATTATATTAATTATTTTGCACAGACACGTGCTTGTATGCCCTAAAATTGTAGTTCAATATATTTAAATTTTAATGATTTGATAATGTTTGACTCATCACATCACAAAAGCAAGTTTTGACACAAATTTCGACTATAATACTTTCTCAAACTTTGATGAATTCTTAATATTGAACGTATTTGTCGTAGGGCCGTAACATTTTAGTATGTTTCATAAGACCATGATATCTATTGCCAAAAAAAGACTCTTAAAAATCGACAAGACACACACACAAACTTTTTCCAAATTTGGTCTCATTCGATTCAGAAAGACTTGAAACGTCGAGAAAACATAATTAGCGAATCAGATTTTTTGATGAAAACATAAACTTCCTCTTTCGGGAAGTTAAAAAAAATCAGTGAAAATGAAAAAAAATCAGGCGAAATTCAAAACAGCAGAGACAATTGAAAAAAAACTCTGAAAACCTAAAAAAAATTGGCAACAAAAAACTGTGAAAAATATAATAAAAACTTTATAAGAACTGAATAAAAAACAGTAGCAATTCAAAAAAAATTGTAACCTAAAAACAGTCAAATCTTTCAAAAAAGTCGTAACTTTTAAAAACAAAGAATTGAAACTTAAAAAACAGTTGGCATTTAAATTTACAGTTGAAACTTAGAACAGTATAATCTTAAAAAATGTGGGAACTTTCGAAAAATAGTTGAAACTTTCGTAAACCAGTTGAACCTTCAAAAAAAATAGTGGGAACCAAAAAAATAGTGGGTATTAATAAAACAGTTGGAACGTAAAAAAATAGTAGGCAATAGAGAAAACAGCTGAAACTTTCTAAACATTTGAAAGTTTTGAAACACAGCTGAAACTCTCAAAACACAGTCGAAACTTTGAAAATATAGTGGAAATCTAAAAAATAGTGAAAAATAAAGAAAAACAATCGAGATGTTCAAAATACAGTCGAAATTTAAAAAAATAAAGAAACTGTCAAAATACAGTCGCTACTTCAAAACCACAAAATTGTCGCAGCTTTTAAAATACAGATGCAACATTTAAAATGTAGTCGCAACTTTTAAAATACAGTCGTAAGTTTGAAAAAACAGTCGCAACTTTCACAAAACAGTCGCAATTTTCACAAAACAATCGTAACTTTCACAAAACATTCGCAATATTAAAGAAACAGTCGCAATTTTCAAAAAGCAGTCGCAATTTTCAAAAAATTTTCGGTCGCAACTTTATAAAAAAAAACATTCGCAAAATTATAAAAATAAACAAAAATTTTTATAAAAGTCTCACTTGAAAAAACGGTCGTCGCTTTAGAAAAAACAGACTCAACTTTAAAAAATAGAGTTAACTTAAGAAAAACAATCTGAACTTAAAATAAAATAAAACAGACGTAATTTAATAAAAAAGCCTTGTTTAAAAAAAAAACAGAATCAACTTATTAAAAAACAAAGAACAATCGTCTTGAACTTTATAAAAAAAAACAGCCGAAACATTAAAAGAGCTTTGAAAACTTTAGGAAAAGTAATTCAAAAGTTAGAAGGTCAATCGAATATTTAGAAAAATATCGAAACTGTTCTAGAGAAAAGCACTCGAAGATTCAGAAGAACAATCAAAACTTGAGAAGAGGAATAGAAAATTTAGAAAAAAATCTGGAGAAAAAATTTAGAAATAAACCTTAGAACAACAATATAAACTTTGAGAAAGCAATCGAAACTTAAAAAAAATACTCGAAACTTTACAGGAATGATCCAAGATTTATAAAAAAAATCAAGAACTTAAAAAAAAACCAAACCGGAAGCAGTTCAGAAAAAAATCAAAACTTTTAAACAAATCACAAATTAATTTAAAAAAAACAAGATCACCAATCTGACATTGCGTCAGAAAAACTTCTCGACTTTTTCTCAAAAATCTAATATTTGTTAAAAACATAAGTATCTCAAAAAATAATTTTGAAGACACAAACTAAATCATATTAAATTTTTATATTTGATATTAATAATCCTTCTTACAGCATATCCTTCAGAACCAGCCAAAGAATTCAAACTGTGTGACCTCTTCCCGAACTCTCCACTTGCACTGCTCCTCTCATGTCGATTTCTCGATCTGGACATTCTTTGCGGGGGGACAGGAGCCCCTTCATTACCAGAAGAACCACCCTTATTACCACTACCACTACCACTACCACTACCACTGACACCACTACTTCCTTGATTACTACTCGTCGTCTTCGGCTGATAGTGCTTCGGACTCTCAAAAGCCAGGGTAAAAGTACTATAACCGTTCTTGGAATACCCACTGTTGCGTTTGTAATTCCTTTTCCCGCTGCCACCATAACCAGAATTTAAAGAATTTAAGGATCCATGTAAACCGGTTCCGTAA